GGATCCATAATCAAGCTGCGTGAGCTATCTGACAGCTTCAATGTCCATATGCGTGCGCTCAGTAGTCTGGGCACAACAGAGCAGATAGCCAGTGCCATGATTGCTCAGATACTGCTACAGAAGCTTGATGAGGCCTCACAAGCTAAATGGGAAGAGAAATTGGACAACTCAGAGACGGCTCTTCAGATACCCAGATATGAAGAAGTCTCCTCATTTCTTGAGCTTCGTTGCCGTACTTTGGAATCGATGAAATTTGCTCTTACAAACTATTCGTCAAGTAAGCCGATGAATTCTTGCAGTAAGGTTGCTACCAGTAGATCAGCATTTCTCGTAACCGGCCACAGTACTCACAGTTGCAATTTTTGTAATGATCTTGAGCACACAATCTACAAATGCCCAAGATTCGCAAACTTGTCTCCCTAGTCTTCGCCTGAATGAGGTCCGAAAGGCTGGCTTATGTTTGAATTGTCTCAAGGGAGGTCATCAGTCGCGACAATGTGGCTCGCGCAGTTGTCGGGTCTGTGGAGTCAAGCATCATACGCTTCTTCATCTCGGCCACTCCAGCACATCGCAGGCAGCAATTCCGCCCCATCAACAATCTTCAACATCAAGAGTACAGACCATCCCTCAGCCCTCAGCACCAGCCACTACTCTCTTATCCAAGGATCGGCACAGCGATGTTGTGCTCCTGGCTACCGCAGTGGTTCTGGCAAGGAATCGGTTTGGCGAGCTTGTTCCTTGTCGTGCGCTTTTAGATTCAGGCTCTCAACTACATCTCATTACAGCCAGATTTGCGAATCTCCTGCAACTTAAGAGAACAAAATCGGTGGCATCTGTATGCGGCGTAGGCGACTCCAATGTTGCCATGGATGGCAGCAGCATTTGCCTCACTCTTCAAGCTCATGCATCTGAATATACAACTAGCATAACGGCTATGGTAGCTACAAATATAACTGGCAGGCAGCCCAGTTCTAATGTGAATACGAGCAATTGGAGCATACCGCAAAATATAGTGCTGGCAGATCCAGCTTTCCATAGGCCGCAACGAGTAGATCTGCTTATCGGAGCTAGCCTGTTTTATGATTTGCTCTGTGTGGGACAAATCAAGTTGATGCCTGGACTTCCATTGTTACAGAAGACTCGTCTTGGTTGGGTTGTATCAGGTGGCGAGGCTCGCAACCACAACTCCGTGCTAATAGCTTCAAAGACGCCTTTGGATCCGATTACAGACTCCTGTGCTGATATCAAGTTGGACAGTCTCGTTCGTCGCTTTTGGGAAGTTGAGCGCTGCAGCGATTCCATTGTAAAGTTCAGCAAGGAAGACTCAGACTGCGAAGCGCATTTTGCGAGGCATTACAATCGATTGGCTAGTGGCCAATATACAGTACGCCTGCCTGTTAAGCTTAGTTGCGAGCTTCTTGGAGATTCTTATGAGCAAGCGCGACATCGGTTTCTCAATTTGGAGAAGAAATTGAGTCGTTTGCCGCATATAAAGTCTCAATACTCAGCATTTCTGAAAGAGTATTTTGAACTTGGTCACATGTCACGCGTTCCTCTAAATTCATTCCATCTATGCAGATATTTTCTTCCTCATCACTGCGTTCTGAAGGATGATAGCACAACTACCAAGCTTCGCGTCGTCTTTGATGGATCTGCATCTACAACAACTGGGCATTCGTTGAATGACATTCTAATGTCAGGTCCCGTCATTCAGCCAAAATTAGTCGACATATTATTGCGCTTCCGATCTTATCCAGTTGCACTCACCGGCGATATTTGCAAAATGTATCGTTGCGTGAAAGTACCTGAGCCGGACAGCTATCTACAATGCATTTTATGGAGGAATTCGCCAGATGATGAGTTGGAAGTTTTCAGGCTTGATACGGTAACATATGGAACAAAACCAGCGTCATTTTTGTCTGTGCGCGCCATGCATCAGCTTGCCGTAGATGAAAGGAACGCATTCCCAGTCGGGTCCGACGTACTGCTTCGCGATTTCTATGTTGATGATTTGATTAGTGGAGGAAATTCAGTCGAAGAAGCAAGACTTGTTATGCAAGAGACAGCTGGAATCTTGGCATGTGGGAAGTTTAAATTGAGGAAGTGGTGTTCAAGCCATCCCATGGTGCTGGACGGCGTAACAGACTGCGACAAGGAATCGCTCATTAGGTTCAATGATGGCAGCGACATTACAAAGACACTTGGCCTTGCATGGGATCCGGCATCTGATCAACTTCTTTTCTCATATCTAGCCCTGAATTCAGCCTCTAAGCCCTCCAGGCGCTCTGTTCTCTCGTCTATTGCTAGGTTTTATGATCCCCTCGGCCTGGTCGGCCCAGTAATAACGAAAGCTAAAATCTTCTTGCAACAACTCTGGAGGCATAAACTTGATTGGGATGAGAGTCTCCCGTCTGCATGTCACACTGCATGGCTAGACATTTGCAGCAACTTTGGCAATGGTCTTAGTAGTGCATTTCCCAGGCTATCATTAATACCAGGATCGAAGGTTGAGGTCCATGGATTCTGCGATGCCAGCATCGAGGCATACGGAGCTTGCATTTATATTGTATCCAGAGGTCAGCATACCATCAGCAGGTTGCTTTGCTCTAAGTCTCGAGTTGCGCCTCTAAAAACGCTCACGGTTCCCAAGCTGGAACTATGCGGGGCAGAGTTGCTTGCGCGTCTAATGAATGAAGTGGCTCGCTTAGGCATTTTCGCAGGCGAGTTTCATTGTTGGTCTGACTCTACTGTTGCGCTTTCTTGGATCAATGACGATCGCATCGCCACGATACAAGATCTCACATCAGCAATGGAATGGCACTATATACCTACAACACTGAATCCCGCGGATATATTATCTCGGGGTGCATTGCCCTCGGATTTAAATGCATCATTACATTGGTTCAACGGTCCAGGTTTCCTCTGTAAGCCCAGATCTCAGTGGCCAGTCTCAGCACTTCCAGAAAGAACTTCAATTGAGCGTCGAAGAACTGTGCTTCTTGTAAAGGACGCAGTCCATGATGTCTCTATGGACTGCAAGTTTGTGAATTCTTTCGGCCGCTTGCAGCGTACGTTTGCATACGTATCAAAGTTTATTAAAAAAAAGTCATGGTCCAGGAATAACCCTAGCAGACATCCGGAACGGCACTCATATACTGTTAAGAATGATTCAACGAACACATCTCTCAGACGACATAAATGCTCTTCGAAATAAAGGAATGGTTCCGTCATCCAGCAGTCTAGCCTCGCTGTCACCGTTCCTTGATGAGATTGGGCTGCTACGTGTCGATGGTCGTCTCAAAAAACTCAACTTTAAATTTCGATAGTCGCCATCCAATTATTTTGCCCAAAGTTCATCCAGTAACTAGAGCCATCATAATGCATTTCCATCAGCGAAACTTGCACGCTGGTCCCCGAGCAGTGCTAGCGTTGGTTCGTTCCCAATATTGGCCAATTGGAGGTAGAAAAACTGTAGCCAGTGTAATTCAGAGATGCGTAATTTGCTTTCGTGCAAGGCCCCGACTCGTTGAACACATAATGGCAGATCTACCCAAGGATCGAGTCGACGGCTATCGGGTCTTTGGAGTGACTGGAGTCGACTTTTGCGGACCCTTCTTTTACAAGCCTGAGTCACGAAACAAGGCGCCTGTGAAATGCTACGTTTGTGTGTTTATTTGTTTTGCTACGAAGGCTATTTGGTTGGAGTTAGTCAAGGATTTAACTACCGCGGCATTTTTGCATGCACTTCAACGTTTCATATGCACCAGAGGAAAGCCAAGTCAAATCTGGTCGGATAACGCCACAAACTTTCTTGGTGCCCGCAATCAGCTTCAGGAGTTGAAGCGTCTATTTCTGTCAGACACCCACCAGAAGGCTGTGAAGGATTTCTGTTTGGCAGACTCAATCGAATGGCATTTCATCCCTCCACGATCACCTCACTTTGGTGGCTTGTGGGAGGCTGCAGTGAAGACAGCGAAGCATCATTTTTACCGATGTGTTGGGTCCTCCGTCCTAACTTACGATGAGCTTCGCACACTGGTTTGCAACATCGCTGCTGTCGTTAATTCACGCCCTTTAGTTTCGATTTCAGAGCACCCATCAGACATAGACGTGTTGACTCCTGCGCATTTTATCAACGGTGGCCCTCCTTCGTCCTTCAGTGAGCCAAACCTGACAGGGCTCAATTTTAATCGTTTGGATGCTTGGCAGCGCGTAAGCTATCTCCAGCAGGTGTTCTGGACTCGTTGGCGGGACGAATATCTCAACTTGTTACAACAGCGAGCGAAATGGAGAACCTCTAAACCTGGCTTGGCTGTTGGCAACATAGTTCTTGTGAAGGATGAGAATCTACCTTCACTTAAGTGGCCACTAGCCAGAATAATCGAACTTATCCCTGGAAGTGATGGCGTTGCACGGGTAGCCCTACTAAAAACTGAAGTTGGCGAGATAAGAAGAGCTACAAATAAGCTGTGCTTGCTGCCCCTTAAGGATTCTGTTGAAGACTAAGTCTTCAACGGGGGGAGGATGTTGGGCTCAGCAATCATCGCTTCATTGTAATTAAGAGCGGCAGTTCATAGAATATGTTATCATGTAAGAGAATTTGTAACGGAGATCACGCTCTCCCTTTTGCGTTGTCTCTTTCACCCACGCACCGGCTCAGCTTAATCCGCCGGCTCGCGTACATTGTAGTTAGTATGCAATTAACTCTTGTTTAGAGCAGATGCAGTGTTAGATTGACTATTACAAACATAGTAGCGGACAGCACGACAGACTAGTCGCTTGCTCGCGTCTATCACATAAACTCTGTAAACTCTAATAATCGCTAATAAACTAATCACTAAGTAAATTCAATCGTTTAATAATTTAAAGCTATTCGAAAAATCTCGATAGCTCAACAGATATCCAAGCTGCAAAACGAAAGTACGAAGAGGAGTTATTCAGTTCTATCGACCCCACAGATAGATATAGCATGCAGAAACTATGGCGACTCACAAATGAGATTAAACGGCAGCCTGCTCCAAATCTGCCTCTGCTGAAGTCCTGCAGTGGCAATGGCTCAAATGCTCGCAATGTATGGTGCAAGACAACAGCAGAAAAAGCTGAATTCTTCGCTGATAGCCTTGAACGGCGATTTAAACCTCTCATCTCCACGTCGCCTAGTGACTTGGCTGAAATTGAGGCGCAAATAAGCCAATCATCCTCGTCTTCTTCGCTCTCATTTCGGCCAGTCACAGCAACAGAGGTCATCAATCATATTAGCACTCTGGAAAAGATGAAAGCAGCTGGTTTAGATAATGTCGACAACCACACTATAAAAGCGCTGCCAATGAAGGCTATACTATACCTTGTTTTGATCTGCAACAACTCGTTTAGATTTGGTCATTTCCCCTCTTGCTGGAAGCTAGCAATGGTGAAGATGGTGCATAAGCCTGGCAAGCCTACGCAACACGCCTCATCATACAGGCCAATAAGTCTATTGTCTGGCCTCTCTAAGATTCTAGAGTACCTTATTCTGAGTCGAATGCTTGAACAAGATGCCCTTATCAACGCTATTCCTAGCCATCAATTTGGATTTCGCAAGGGTCACTCAGCTGAGCAACAGCTGGGGCGTGTCTCACAGTTTATACTGAGATCGTTTGAGGATCAATCGTATTGCTCTGCTGTCTACATGGACATTAAAGAAGCATTTGATAGAGTATGGCACACAGGCCTGAAATTCAAGCTCAAGATGCTCTTGCCAGATGCCCTATATCGAATGATGTGCTGTTATTTGTCAAATCGCTCGTTTGTTGTTGAGGGTCATGGAGGATGTCGCTCAGCGATTAAGCAGATACACGCTGGAGTGCCGCAAGGCAGCCTGCTTGGGCCAGTACTGTATAATATATACACTAGCGACATCCCTAGACCTACATATGAGTCTGGAAACAAAATACTTATTGCCACTTATGCTGATGACGTCATTGTCCTCTCAGCAAACCGTGTGCAGGCAAACGCTCTAGCTCAGCAACAGGCCTACATGGACAAACTGGCTCAATGGGCAAAAAAGTGGTGCATTACAATTAATGCTAGTAAAACTAAGCATGTCTTGCACACTTACAGGAACACACTGCCGTATCAGGCTATTTGTATTGGAAATGAGGCGATTGAAAATGACACTTCTCATCCGTATTTGGGTGTCATGATGGATTCAAAGCTGAACTTCACTAGTCACGTCACTATGGTTGTCACGAGGGTTAGGGCTAGGCTGAAAAAGATAGATTGGCTTATTAACAAAGATAGTAAATTGTCTCTTAAAACTAAAACTATAATTTACAAGCAGTTAGTTGCCCCACTGTGGCAATATACTATACCTGTCTGGGGTGCACTCCTGTCTGAAACTCAGTTTGATCGCATCAGAGTCATACAAAACAAAGCACTGAGAACTGTATCTGGCGCTCAATATTTTGTTTCAAATGCTCGCATCAGATCTGAACTTGGTGTCTTATCTGTGGATGAGCAATTTAATAATATCTGCTCAAAGTACTACGAGCGACTACGAGTACATAGCAACAATGAGGCTAGAAGCATAGCCCATGATCCGTTTGTCCCACAGCGACTAACAATGCCCAGATACTCTAGCCTCGTAAATACTCACCTGGCTAACGAAATTGAAATGCGCTCTCAGCGACAACAGCGAAGACAAGCTGAAGAAGATGCGGAATTCCGTGCTAGTTATCTTCGCCGTCATCCTCCGGTGTATGGCCCGATTACTTTCCGTGAGCACAGTCGCAATATTGTGAGTGCAAGGCTCACTAGATCGTATCCAGCTTCAACACGCAACACAAGCGAAAACCTTCGCAGAATAGCAGCCCGACGCAGATACGAGGCTCTTCGCAACGATGCAGCTCGTCGCAACGACGCTCCACCAAATGACGCTGCCACACACTCATCCTCTTCAGAGGTGGCCCTCAACATAGGCAACGCAGCTGCCTCACAGTCGCGCCTGCCAATCTTCCAGCAACTGGCGCCGTTGCCACCCACTACAGGCACTTTGCGCACACACAACACAAATCCAGACAACCCTCCGGCTGAGCAAAGCGGGTCGTCTCCAAGCAACTGATTGCAGCATATACACTAAAAAAGAATATGCAATTCAATTAGAATTCCAATTGGCCATCAGTATATGCAACAACTCACCTGTAAATTGGATCGACTGCACATATCCTATAAAGGGTATTCTAGCAAATAAAACTCAAATTGGATATTTATATTCAATTAAAGTTTTATTTTGCATGTATAGGCATACATGCAGTAAACAAATACTACAGTGCACTGACTAATATCAACACAAACGCACTTAACTAAACTAGCGGCACTACTCGATGTTTGGGACGCGGAGTCTTCTCAGCTACTTCTTCTTGTACCACTGGATGATATACTGCAAAGAAAAACAAAAAATATTAAGTATCAACACTTTTATTTACATTTGCATAATTAACATAACCTTGCAGTTAGCTTGCTTTCACACACATCTCTGCCTTGTAGTGCACATACTCTCTAGTACTTGGTAGTAAGCTGCTGCAATTTGTAAAAACAATGAATTAATTAATATTCAATTATTAATGCTTTTATTAGTATTCTTATTAGAAACTATACTTTCCAGTTGCAATTTTGCAATTAATGCACTTCACTTTTCGCACCATATGCTTTTACAACATATGTTTTGTCTTTGCATATCGATAGACATATAAACGCAGTGATGCACTATCACTTTCACGATCGCACTTGCGATGTATCTAATAAATTTTAACTAAATTAAATATGCTAAAATGAAAAGAAAAACCCATTGAAAATCAAATATTGAAAGGAAAACAACTATTACTATTAATTATATTACTCTTATACTACTAATACTATATTTAGCTTAAACAACCTATGGGGAAAATGACTAGACTTTGTCTTGAATTTTCTCTTTGAATTGAATGGCGGCATTATGGCAGCTAATTGATCTGCGCATCTCATAGATGCAGCTGAAAATGAATTTAATTATATTAACTCATTAGTTTACAACTAGCAATTTAAGCATATCAATGTCATCTACTTCTGATCTGCTCTTTTATACGTACACATATATCACAATGGTGCACTGCTATCTTTTGTTGCGCTTGTGGCCATTTAAACTAATCATAGTTTCGCAAAATATCGACCGAATGTATATTTTTTAAAGATATCTTTTAGGCGCAATTTTAATTCTAAGAAAATACTATTGTCAAAGTATTGTATGAATAAAGAGTATCTCTATTTTCTCTCTTCCTCTTCATCTAGCTGATTGACAGCTAATATGAATGAGACTAAAGGGAATATGAGATCATTAATGTGTGTTCTGTCAAGGCATACAAACAGAAAAATCACACACATCTCTGCCTTGTAGTGCACATACTCTCTTGTACTTGATAGTAAGCTGCTGAAATTTGTAAAAACAATGAATTAATTAATATTCAATTATTAATGCTTTTATTAGTATTCTTATTAGAAACTATACTTTCCAGTTGCAATTTTGCAATTAATGCACTTCACTTTTCGCACCATATGCTTTTACTACATATGTTTTGTCTTTGCATATCGATAGACATATAAACGCAGTGATGCACTATCACTTTCACGATCGCACTTGCGATGTATCTAATAAATTTTAACTAAATTAAATATGCTAAAATGAAAAGAAAAACCCATTGAAAATCAAATATTGAAAGGAAAACAACTATTACTCTTATACTACTAATACTATATTTAGCTTAAACAACCTATGGGGAAAATGACTAGACTTTGTCTTGAATTTTCTCTTTGAATTGAATGGCGGCATTATGGCAGCTAATTGATCTGCGCATCTCATAGATGCAGCTGTAAATGAATTTAATTATATTAACTCATTAGTTTACAACTAGCAATTTAAGCATATCAATGTCATCTACTTCTGATCTGCTCTTTTATACGTACACATATATCACAATGGTGCACTGCTATCTTTTGTTGCGCTTGTGGCCATTTAAACTAATCATAGTTTCGCAAAATATCGACCGAATGTTTATTTTTTAAAGATATCTTTTAGGCGCAATTTTAATTCTAAGAAAATACTATTGTCAAAGTATTGTATGAATAAAGAGCATCTCTATTTTCTCTCTTCCTCTTCATCTAGCTGATTGACAGCTAATATGAATGAGACGAAAGGGAATATGAGATCATTAATGTGTGTTCTGTCAAGGCATACAAACAGAAAAAAGAAAAAGTATAGGCATACATGCAGTAAACAAATACTACAGTGCACTGACTAATATCAACACAAACGCACTTAACTAAACTAGCGGCACTACTCGATGTTTGGGACGCGGAGTCTTCTCAGCTACTTCTTCTTGTACCACTGGATGATATACTGCAAAGAAAAACAAAAAATATTAAGTATCAACACTTTTATTTACATTTGCATAATTAACATAACCTTGCAGTTAGCTTGCTTTCACACACATCTCTGCCTTGTAGTGCACATACTCTCTTGTACTTGGTAGTAAGCTGCTGCAATTTGTAAAAACAATGAATTAATTAATATTCAATTATTAATGCTTTTATTAGTATTCTTATTAGAAACTATACTTTCCAGTTGCAATTTTGCAATTAATGCACTTCACTTTTCGCACCATATGCTTTTACAACATATGTTTTGTCTTTGCATATCGATAGACATATAAACGCAGTGATGCACTATCGCTTTCACGATCGCACTTGCGATGTATCTAATAAATTTTAACTAAATTAAATATGCTAAAATGAAAAGAAAAACCCATTGAAAATCAAATATTGAAAGGAAAACAACTATTACTATTAATTATATTACTCTTATACTACTAATACTATATTTAGCTTAAACAACCTATGGGGAAAATGACTAGACTTTGTCTTGAATTTTCTCTTTGAATTGAATGGCGGCATTATGGCAGCTAATTGATCTGCGCATCTCATAGATGCAGCTGTAAATGAATTTAATTATATTAACTTAAGCAATTTAAGCATATCAATGTCATCTACTTCTGATCTGCTCTTTTATATGTACACATATATCACAATGGTGCACTGCTATCTTTTGTTGCGCTTGTGGCCATTTAAACTAATCATAGTTTCGCAAAATATCGACCGAATGTATATTTCTTAAAGATATCTTTTAGGCGCAATTTTAATTCTAAGAAAATACTATTGTCAAAGTATTGTATGAATAAAGAGTTTCTCTATTTTCTCTCTTCCTCTTCATCTAGCTGATTGACAGCTAATATGAATGAGACGAAAGGGAATATGAGATCATTAATGTGTGTTCTGTCAAGGCATACAAACAGAAAAATAGACATATAAACGCAGTGATGCACTATCGCTTTCACGATCGCACTTGCGATGTATCTAATAAATTTTAACTAAATTAAATATGCTAAAATGAAAAGAAAAACCCATTGAAAATCAAATATTGAAAGGAAAACAACTATTACTATTAATTATATTACTCTTATACTACTAATACTATATTTAGCTTAAACAACCTATGGGGAAAATGACTAGACTTTGTCTTGAATTTTCTCTTTGAATTGAATGGCGGCATTATGGCAGCTAATTGATCTGCGCATCTCATAGATGCAGCTGTAAATGAATTTAATTATATTAACTTAAGCAATTTAAGCATATCAATGTCATCTACTTCTGATCTGCTCTTTATGTTTTAAATATGCTATCTTTTGTTGCGCTTGTGGCCATTTAAACTAATCATAGTTTCGCAAAATATCGACCGAATGTATATTTCTTAAAGATATCTTTTAGGCGCAATTTTAATTCTAAGAAAATACTATTGTCAAAGTATTGTATGAATAAAGAGTTTCTCTATTTTCTCTCTTCCTCTTCATCTAGCTGATTGACAGCTAATATGAATGAGACGAAAGGGAATATGAGATCATTAATGTGTGTTCTGTCAAGGCATACAAACAGAAAAAAAAAAAACTGTGAAATTAATCTCATTTAATCGGTGCAAAAACGATTAAATTTTGCAAATTAAATTGCAACAATGCCTAGGGGCTATGTTGCAGCTGACGGCGAAGAGGATATGGACGTGGAAGTCGAATCTCTTCTCGGCTCGCCGACACTCTTGTCTGCGCCCACGCCATCGAGCGCGCCAGTAAAGAAAAGTGAGGTTTCGGCGAAACCATCAACTTCTCGAGCTGTGGCTCAGCTACTTAAAGTGAATGCGGCTGGTGTTAGCGGCAGCAGCAAGGCTGATAAAGTAATTGCCAACTATCAAATAGCCAAGGCGGCTTACAAAAGTGGCCAGATTACAATTGAGGAGGCGCTTAAATTGAGTGTGCAACCAATTGCAACTGCAGTTAAACGCACTGCTGAAAAGGGCAACAGCCCAAAGAAGAAGAGTGCTCAACTGGATTCTATTGATCTGAGTGACAGTGATGTAGAGATCCCGCCATCTGACGACCACGAACCAACTGCAAGGACTGAGGACACACAGAAGGAGGCAGCCAGCCTCGCCAATAAGGTTTGCATTACCAGCGATGTGCAAATTACTCCACCTTCCACTTCTACTGGCGTACGCGACGCTCCCCTCAACGTGAAGCCTGCGCCACTATTCCTGGCAAATGTCACTGACATCTTGTCGCTACTAATCCGCCTGGACGAAGCCATCGGTCAGGACAATTATGGCACCATGCGCACGGCCAACCATGGTATTAGAGTGCAGTGCAAGGATGTCGCTACTTATCGCAAGCTGGTAAAGTACCTTGAAGTAAATAAAGTTGAAAACTATACCTTCCAGTTGAAAAGTGAGCGCGGCTTCAGAGCCATTATTAGAAATTTGCACTACTCCACTCCGGACCACTGGATCCGTGAGAAATTAGCCAAGTTAGGGCATCAAGTCCGCTTTTTGAGAGGTATGAAATCTCGCTTCTCTAAGGAGCCGCTTGATCTCTTCGAAGTTGAGTTAGTTCCCAGTGCCAATAACGCTGAGTTCTTAAAAGTCACTGCTATTGGCAATCAACGGGTGAAAGTTGAGAGGCCGTACAAAACGAGCGAAATAGCTCAGTGCCATAGGTGCCAAAAATTTGGGCACACAAAAAATTATTGCCGTCGCCCCTTTGTCTGCGTTAAGTGCGGCGAAAATCACGCCTCCACTGACTGCGGCAAACAGAAAGGTGACCAGACTCCGGCTAAATGCGCTAACTGCTCGGGCCCCCATGCTGCGAGCTACAAAGGCTGCCCTTCTTTTAAAGAGGCAAGCAAGAAAAGAGTTAATGAAAGCGCTATGCAGATTACAAAGATCGTTAGCAATTTAACTAAGCCTGCTCCCACTTCATCTGCTCAGAGCAGTAGAATGAATTTGCCAAATCTTTTCCAGCAAGTCCCTCCTCAGCCTCGACCTCAGACTGCTAGTGCTGGGCCCAGCTATTCAGCTGCCCTCCGGGCGGGTCTTCAATTTGATCAGCCTGTTACTTTTGCTCCTAATAATGGCCAACAGCGCCAGTCTAGGCAAAAAGCTAAAAATCTCGCCCAACAACGACTTCAACAACAGCAGCAGCAACAACAACAACAACAGCAACTGCTTCAACTAGACCATGTGCGTTCTCAGGCTAGTGCCCAACGGCCTCCGCAGCCAAAAAGAAGCCGTAGCCTAAGCGCGCGCCGTAAGCACCCTCTACAAGCAGCTGAGGTGACTTACCTTAATAATGG